TCTTAACAATAGTATGCTGTACAGTAACACTTGCAGCAATATAAAGGTATTATTTGCTCTCAAATCAAGCTCATGCACCACTTGTCACCATGATGGTAACTATCCTAAAACCAACATTAACAGAAATTCTTCTAAATTAGCATAACGAAACATTAATCATTACTAAATCACCCGCTTAACATTAATCTTGCACAAAAAAACATTGTATTACACTTAATTTTAGCATTTACTCTCCCTTTCGAGTGCCATCGGCAAAGCATGCTGGGAAATATACATCCCAGCCGTTTCAGTGAAACTTAAGTTCGTCTAAATTAAAAGAAATAATTTCATAAAACTCAAAACAATGAAACAGTTCAGTTCACTTAAAATATATCCATTCTGTGAACTTGAAAGAAAAAGAAAGTGCTAAATACTCATAATAGTTAATTTGACTGAACTAATTAGTTTAATTTAAGTTTTTCCTACTCAAACCAATTAAGTATTTTGAGCGTTAGGGTTTACAGTGTTGATTGTGAATAATTCTAAAAAGATGTGATGCTGAGCAGTAAAAAAGAAAGTTTTTACTAAGAAAAAAAAATTGCCACTTTTTATTTATTGCAGAAAGGATAATGGAGAGAAGACAGGAAATTACAGGGCAGAAGAGTATAAATGTGGATTGGGAAAGGACCGATCTGAAACTTAAACTTAAACTCCAGGCTACATCTCTTCGAAGAGTATTAATGTGATGTTAACAGGACCCATAATTCTCTCTTCTTCTTTTTTTAGCCGTTCCCAGACACCACCCCAGAAGACATCCAGCTAACTACTCCTGATGAAGAGTGCACTTCCAGTCCTGTTCAGATAGAGGATCCAGTGGATTCAGGTCAAACTAAAGAGCAAACCCAACTACTTCTTTTGGCACTTAAGCTTAAACACAATTTGACCAATGACTGTCTTGAGGATGTCATGAAAATTCTAAATGTTGTTGGTGGTAATGATTCGGTATGCAGGACAAAATATTCATTTTTACAAAGCTTTCGATTATACCAAAGACATTATGAAAATCTGTTATGTGTGTGACCAGTGCAATAAAATAATGTCAGCTGAACTGGACCATGTTCATTGTGTTCAATGCAACATTACTTATGACAAAGCCAGCAGGTTCACCAATAATTTTTTCATATACCTCTCCTTGGAAGATCAAATAAAACATCTTTTGAAAATTCCAGGAATTACAGACGAATTGGTACAAAGGCAAACAGAAACATCAACATCTGTCAGTGATATTTGTGATGGTTTTTTGTATCAGAAAGCTTTAAGTGGTTCAGATACGCCCCTTCAAACCCTTACCTTGACATTTAGCTGTGATGGTGTGCCAGTTTTTAAAAAGTCCCCTTGTAGTATTTGGCCCCTTTTATGCACCATTAATGAGTTGCCGTTGAAAATGAGACAGGATAATGTACTCCTTTGTGGACTGTGGTTTGGGGATGAGAAGCCTAATATGAGAACATTCTTAAATCCTTTTGTAGAGGAATGTGTAAAACTAGAGGACAACGGTTTCACATGGGAAAAGGACAAAGGTGTTTCTATCACTACAAAAGTAATCCCTCTAGTTCTGATGAGAGACTCAGTTGCCAGACCTCTAATACAGAATGTCAAACAGTTTAATGGTGAATATGGCTGCTCCTATTGCCTTCACAAAGGAAAATGGGTTGAAAAGGGCAGAGGATCTACTCGTGCATATCCTTTTCAGAAAGACCTCCAGCTTCGCAATCAGGAACAGACTAATGAATTTGTAGAAGCTGCGTTAGAGTCAGGACAGCCTGTTATGGGTGTCAAAGGACCAAGTGCATTGTGTCGGCTTCCCAGTTTTGATGTAATTGAAGGGTCTGTGCCAGACTACATGCATTCAGTACTTCTGGGTGTTGCACGAACTGTAACAGGGCTGTGGTTAAACAGTGAAAACCATGAAAAACACTGGTATATAGGTAGGTCTACAAAAGTGATCGACGAGTTGCTTTTAAAGATTAAACCACCATGTAATGTACCTCGTGTGCCAAGATCAGTCACATTGAGGAAATTCTGGAAAGCCCACGAGTGGTACATGTGGCTCTTTTATTACAGCTTCCCTGTACTAAAAGGTGTCTTGCCAGAACCACTACTGAATCACTGGTCAAAACTAGTTAAGGGTGTATCACTTCTGTTGGGTGAAAATATAATCAGAGACCAGATTACGGAGTCTGAGGCACTTCTAACAGATTTTGTGAAAGACATGGAGGTATACTATGGGGAAGCCAATATGTCTTATAATGTCCATCTTTGCCTCCATTTACCAAGAAGTGTAGTTAACTGGGGGCCTTTGTGGGCTCACTCTGCCTTTGTATTTGAGTCTTATAATGCTAAACTACTCGACATGATCAAAAGCACTCAAGGGGTTGCACTGCAGATTGTCAAAACTTTTTGGTTACAAAAGGCTTTACCTTTTTATGGTCAGACTATCCTAAAAGATGCCTCAAATGAATGCAAGGAGATCTTTGAAACTCTGACAAGACCAAAACGGTTGAAACATGTAACTCGCACACATGATGTCACTGCACTCGGTCGTCCTAAAGTGCGATTACTTAGGAGAGATGACTATATGGCACTGAGTCGTTATGGGGTACAAAAAGGCAGGGTAAAGTACTTTCAACGAATCATTACAAATGACGAGGTGGTTCACTCAGAAGATTACAGCCGTGTATCTAAACGCAATTCATTCACTGTTGTGTTGAATGACGAAGATCAAAACTTTTTTAGAATTAAAAGATTCTTGATTTGTCAAAATGAAAATGAGGAGAGGTGTTATGCCATTGGCAGATTCTATGAACAAGCAAAGCATAGTCTCTGTGCCTCAAATCCAAGTCACTTTGAACCAGTTTCAAAAAATCTTGGACATCTTACAGCTATTCCTGCTTCAGCTATCAAATGCAAATGTCTGATCATTCACACTGTAAAACTCAAAGTTGATTACATTTTTAGAAATATTAATCAGTCTGAATTCCTTAAATGAGACGTCAAATGAAGCTAAGAAGAGTGGCCTAAGTTGTTTTATTCAATTTGATCTTTAGTGTCAGTGTACAATGTTTTTTATAATGTAATAAGTGTATATTTATCTTTTAAAATTTGACGATGAATTAATGGCAAAAAGCTATGTGTACATTACTAAAGCAATGCAAAATATTATGCTATGTGGTATATTTTGCAAAATGATTTAAAAACAATTTATGTAAATAATTGTAACTTTTTCAGTTTATTTTGTAATGCTTATGTTGATATAACACAGACATCTTACCACTATTCCTGCTTAAGCTATCAAGCAAATGTCTGATCATTCACACTGAAAAGCTCAAAAGTTGATTACATTTTTATAAATATTAAAAATGATTTAAAAACAATTTATGTAAATAATTGTAACTTTTTCAGTTTATTTTGTTATGCTTATGTTTAAATAACACTTACATGTCATTATCATTAAAAAACACGTAATTAATTGAATATTTAATGGCAAGAAGTCAAATGTACATTTCAAAGCAGTGTTTTATATTGTGCATTGTTTTTGCTCTGTTTATAGGCTACTGATGATTTTAATACTGTCACGGCTTGGCAGATGAAACAGACTGACGACGTAAGTTTCAGACGATAAGATTTAATGTAACAGCGTGTTAACAGAAACATCACGTTCACAAAAACAATAACCGACCCGGGAGAGAACTGAACGGGAGAATATACACAGGGTACTATATACACAGGTAAACGAGAGAATATATATAGCCTACAGGTAAACGAGGGAACTAACTAGACACAGGTGGATGAAGGTTAACTAATCAGGGATAGAACAAGAACAGGTGCAGACAAGACAGAGCATAGTGACATGCCCGGATATAATGGATACTTTTGCTATCCATCCACATTCTACTGTAAGGTTGGAAATGTATTTTCTTGACCCTGAAATACATTTTGAAATATATTTTGGTAAATGAAGGATGAAAATAAATATATTTTAGATTTCAAAAATATATTTTTTTGAATTTCACAGTTACAACATATATTTAGCATATATTTAAAATATATTTTGGCCAGAAAAAATATATTTTTTTACCGTATGGGAATAGTTTGAATAGGTCTTAAATTAAGGAAAGACAAGGTGTATTCACCCTGCTGAGGGGGATGTGATCAAAGCCTGGAGTGGAGCGAAAGCACGTTCCTCTCTCCACTCTAAGCATTCTGTAATCACTCCGCTCTGGATCCACTCCGGGTTTTCAATTCCCGCTCACGGAAAAACTAAAAAAAATTCCGCCAGAAGACTTTTTTCACTTTAATCCCTGTTTTTATAAGCTGTCGACGCCAAAAAACGGTTGTTTCAGGACATAAAAGTGGATCAATTGAGACAGAGCGCAACTATGCATCTTCAGATGACGCGTTTATTATGTAGAACACATTGGAATTGCGCGAAAATATAACGATATTCGAAAAAGCTATTTTATGATCGAATTTCGAACGCAGTTCGACTATTCGACTATTCGAAGATCGTGACTCATCCCTACTTTAAATCCATTTTATCTGTTTAAAATAACAATAATATCAACTTTGACAAATGCTAAATAAATAAATTAAATTATGAGCGTTCAAGAAGAGTGTAACAAACTCAACAATATAACAGAAGTGGAACCAAATATTTATAAAGAAAATGAATAAAAATTCAAATACAAAACATACAGCGGCTTCGTCGCATTTACAACACACAGCATCTTTTTTAATCATTATTACAATTTTTGTAGCAAATAAACACTTAATCTAGCCTGTAAGTGAGCACATGAAATATTAGACGCTTGTTGTGTTGTCAATAACTCCTCCTCTCACGGGGTTTCTTCTAAACACGGTATTATGCGAGTTCATATGCACACTTCTTTCGCTTTCCTTCTAGACTGACTGCATTTCCTCACTCTCTGTCTCTCTCTCACACACACACACACACACACACACACACACACACACACACACGCGGAAACAAACGACACACCGTGCACGCGATCTCAGAGAGAACTTAACTACAAACTGGACTTTATAAAGACGAATCTGCTCCGTTGAAGAAGAATGAAGCCCGTGTTCTCCTGTCTGTCTGTGGGCTCGTTGCTTTATATCGTCTACGTCTGCGCAGGTGAGTTTCGCTCATAATATGTTATAGAGACTTTTACACGAATTAAACCTCTGTAATAATATTAATGATGATGATAAAAACTCTATTAGTTAATAGTTCATATCATTCTTTGACACTGCTTTGTAATTGTCAAACTTTAGTCGTGGCGTCAAACATGTTCGGGGAAACCCTGTCCGCCTGACAGTAAATGATCGCTGAACTTCCTGATAATGTTATGAATGATTCAGACTGCAACATTAACATCAGCAAACATTCACACACTTCTCTGGACTTAGTGTTTAAAAACTCTTAACCACTCATATTTAAACTCATACATGAACCCAATTTTGTATTATAAATATTAAACTAATTTTGTATTCAGGCCTATAAAAACGCACTAGAGTTGCAGTGAAGATCATTGACTCGGATGTTTGTTTGTGTTGAATCACGAGTTGTTGAAAAATACACAATGTATCTCCTTACAAAGTAATAACATATACCCTTTTTTTCTTCTTTTTTCCCCCTCCTAGGGATAAAAATATAATAAATTGTATTATTTGTATCCACTTTAGGAAAGATTGATTTGTTTATCATTTATTGGTCACTAGATAATTTCCTTCCATTTGTGTTATTTCAGGGTTTTCATGACTTTCATAAAGTATGTGGAAAAGAGTAATAATAAATATGAATATGGTGGCAGTGTGTATTTTCCAGTGATGTATTTTAGTAAACCTTTGTTTTAATGTGTGTATGTCTGTGTTAACAGAGAGCGTCCCAATCCCTGAGAATGTGACCATGACATCACTGGACATGGGATTGGCTCTGCAATGGGATCCGCCACAAAACACCACTAATCAACTATTTAACTACACCGCTGAAGTGAAGTAAGTTAATTATGATACACTCATTTTACGGCTTACTGTTATAATATGCGTGACATTTTACAAATATAATTAAATGGCTTCATACTATTAGAATATTCCTGGTTAAAAACATCGGTTTGCCTGCTGTTGTCTCTGAAAAAAAAGAGGAAAATCTGTATAATAAAACACAAAGACCAAACTTGTGTATATTAATGCACTTATAATGATGTACTGGAGGGTTTAGAAGCAGAATATGCTTTTCTGGGTTGATGAAAGTGTGGTTATGCATTTCTGTAATGTTATTGTTTCATTTTCTCCCTGTATGTGTAGACTGTGGAGAGATTATGAGCCAGTATGTGTCTGCAGCTCATCACTAAGATGTGATTTCACTTATAATGTGAGCATTTTTGGATTTTACCAACTTCGCGTTCGGACTGAACTACACGGAGAGACGTCTGATTGGGTGGAGACTGGAGAGTTTGCAGTGGATGAGATAAGTGAGTCACTTCATCTCTGATGGCAGTATGCATGTTTGTAAATGATCCCACTGAAGCTTGTCTGGAAACTCTAGAGCACAAATAGAGTTTTCTAGAGGACCTTGAGCTTCTATCCCTCTCGTGTCACATGTACAAAGAAGTATCCAGAACTCTTCAGTTTTCACATTTTGTTGTTGCAGCCTTATGCAATGTGTGAAATGTGTGATAACTTTGTAAATGTTTGAAAAAAACTGAAATATAGAAATGTGGCAATCGGCCAGGGTCCGGAATCAGCTGATTTTCCGCATTTTCCGGAGCCGGTCTGTTTTGTTGCCAGCGGCACAGGCAATACCTTCAGCTGTTCTCACTCTCTGCTCTCCAACAGTGAAGTGACACACACCCGCCTCAGTTAAATAGTGCTTTTTTGCGCATAACTTTACTAATTCCTGCAGGTTTTGTACTTCTATATGTGGAGCGCACATAAAGCCGACTCTCAAAGAGCTTGTGAGTCGCAATGCCAAATTGAGTTACAAATTGACTTAAATACACACAAAATGATGTCAAAATGACTGTCTTGGCGAGTATTCAGGAAAACAGTCAGTTTTGAGACATAAATAGTTGAGAAAGATAACGCATATTGTGCAACAGCATATTGGATCCATGCATGAACTCTTAGGCCCCATTTACACTGCATGGATCAAGTTACCCAAATCCGATTTTTTCCTCTCATGTGGCACAGATCGGATATGACCCATGAACGTGTAAGCAGGAAAAAAACGCCTGGATTCCGATTTTCTCAGATCCGATTCAGGCCTCACTCATATGTGGTAATAAATCGGATATGAATCGGATATGTGCATTTGCGTGTGCCATGTAAGCAGACAAATCGGATATTCCCCAGTAAATGCGAGTCGTACGTCATTAAAAACGTCAACTCAGTGACGTCAACTCAGGTGGACACCACCAACTGAGAACACGTGACTTATTATAGGCTCGATGGAGGACGAAGGATACACACAGTGGAGCAATGCGGAGGTTTCGTGCAAAAATGCAGGGTTGTTACAGAAATAAATCCGTGTTTGAAGACATTTCTCGAGATATGGGGAGGCACGGTTTTAAGCGTTCGTGGCTACAGTGCCACCGTAAGATAAAAAGCTTAATGACTTTTAAAAATATTGTGGAAAGCAAAACACTAAATAATTTTATTCGCATCTGCATCCATTGTATTTCGTGCTGTTTTACTTCCTTTTCCGGGTCAGAACGTCTACATTTGGTAGTTTCAGCAGTGTATAGTGTAAATGCAAAAATCGGATACGGGTCACTTTTCAAAGATGATGTAAGCGGGTCGTCAGAAAATCGGATTTGGCCACCAAGACCTGCAGTGTAAATGCAGCCTTAGACAGCGGCAGGTTTATTAGGCTGTCGTCACTGTCATGTTAATCAAAGAACAAAACACAGAAAATCACTCTGCTCTTGACTGAAGGACTTTTGCAACTTTAATTGTAAGGACTAATCTTAATCTAAACATGTATCTTCCTTTTCAAAGTGATTTCAATCATATGAAGCGATTCAAAACCATCAAGGGCGAGCAGAGCGCATCTGAAGTGTCTGAGCTGAAGGAAGTAATACATTATCTATCGATTTATTTCTGAATGCCGACAGCACACTGTAGTTTGTACACATTATGTGTACAGTTAATGAAGAAGAGAAATAAAGTTTGCCAGAAAACACTACTAATTTAGTCAGTTTATGAGCTGAACAATAATAATAAAACATAAATGACACATATGATGCACATTCTTTGAGTTTTCCGAACTTGTAAAAACAAACATCCCAGGAGAACTTGAATGCACACTATGGTATTGCCTGAACAAAAGTGGTCTAACTGCAGTGTTGCCCTGAGGCCCAGTTGCCCACAGTTGGCCGATAATAATTACCATTTATCGGCCGATATCGATATGTGGTCAATATAATGTGCATCCCTAATTTAAATTATAGAATGGGTTATATTAGAAATCAAGCAAAGAGCGGTGCTTTAATAACCAGTGAAGCTGATAGCAGTTCAGTTTTTTAAATTGTGCAAATAGAAAAGTCCATAGGCTTGTTCCAGTCTGGATATTCTCAATAGTACACCTCAAAATTGGGAAGATCGTGATTCAGATCGTGATTGTTTGTTATGGGATCGTGATGTGAAGATTGCAAATCCCTTTCTTTTTTTGACAAAAGAAAAAGCCGGCAGAGCTCAGAGACAGGATTGTGTGGATGCACAGATCTGGTGAAGACTGATAAATATTTCTGCTGTATGATCACAGTGGCCTTCATAAGTAGAATAAGCTGGGAACGATTACTCTTCCTATCTAGAGAAACTGAGGGATTGAGGGAGAAGGTCTTTGGTAAAAGAGGCGACTAAAAATCTGTTGAGCTCCAGAGATCTTGTGTAGAGTTGGGAGAAACTACCTTGCAGAAGGAGAGACGTCCCTGCATCACTCCACAGATCCGAGGTTTAGGACCGACTGTGTGAATGTCCTCGAGTGGACAAGCCAGATCCCGGACTTGCAGAACCCAGTCGAACGTTTCTGGAGAAACCTGAAAACTTCTCCAACTTCAGTCCCCATCCTGACAGAGCTCGAGAGGGTCTGAGGAGAACAGTGGCAGGAAATCCACAGATATTACGGCATCATACCCATAAAGACCTGAGCCTGTACAAACTAACTTTAAACTGACTTACTACTTTATTAAAAATCACTGAACTACAGAAAAAGAAACGACAAGATGTTTCGGTGTTCATCCAAACACCATCCTCAGCTGTAAAACACAGGAAGTGACTCACACACACTAAAGTCACATGATCAACACATGTAGTCCAAAACGTCTTGTTTCTTCTTATGTAGTCCACCGATTTTTGTTTTAATAAAGAGTTTATTTGAATATTTTACTACCAGGATGATTTCGACATTTTACTGGAGACTGTTATTGCAACCAGCGGTGCTTTAGCTAAAATATTGAGGGTCTGAATACTTATGTGACATTTCACTTTTTCAATGTTGCTGTGTTGTTGTTTTTTTACAAAATCATCACTCATCTGTCATTTGCTTTGCTTTGCTATGGGTTACTGAATGAGGATTGAAAAAATACTTTATTTTAGCATAAGACTGTAACAAGCTGACTTTTTCCTGAATGCACTGTATATCAAACAGTGCATTTGATTAACATTCATAAAAAATAATTTGTCTCACTGTAACTGTTTAATATATGTTACTGTTATACGTGTATAACACAGCATTGCCCTGTCTGTGCAGCGGAGGTCAGCGCTCCTCATGTCCAACTGAGCAGCAGAAAAGGACAAACCGAAGTGGACATCACTGATCCTCCGATGAGAAGAAGCACCTTGAGGGATGTCTTTACTGGGGTTTCATACCTCATCCGCTTTTGGGAAAAAGGAGAGGCAGAAAAGGTAATGAATGCAATATGTTGTCTAAAGTGTTTGAGCTGTCAGCCTACATATACTGTACAACAGATCAAACTCATGTCTGCGCATGTGAAGGATGCTGTTTTACATGGATATTGGGAAGTACAAAGCCTTCTTGGATTGGTGCCGGAACACAAAATCATTTAGGCTTTCAAATAAATGTTGTTTGTAATGAATGCCATTATAAGCTAGTTATTTTTCTTCTGTCTTGTTTTGTTCTGAATACCGTTGAACTCAAAGGATTTGTTCTGGACTAAGGGGAACTAAAATACATGTTTATAATGTTTATAATTGTGCTGTATTATTGAAAAGTGCACATTTACTGATGGGGACAGTTTACGCCAATAAAACAAGCATATTGTGTTCATTATCCCACCCACAATAACTTTGAGGGGGTCCTTGAAAAAAAAAAAAAAAAAAATACAATACCAACAAACATTTCCCCCTTCAATAGCAAACTAAACCGGATAAGACATCTATTCCAGTTATATGAGACAGGCCATTCATGCTCAATGTGTTTTTGTTGTTTATTCTCAACAGGAAGAACTAATAAGAGACCAGAACAGAATTATGTTACCAAACCTGGAGCCTTTGGTGAACTACTGCGTGGAAGTGGCGGTTTTGTACAATAAAAGAACAAGCCAGTTCAGCAACACGACCTGTGTGACCAACTCACCCAGCAGTAAGCTTTCCCCCATATAAACCAGCTTTCCCCCATATAAACCAGCTTTCCCCCATATACACCAGCGTTCCCCCATATAAACCAGCTTTCCCTCATATAAACCAGCTTTCCCCCATATACACCAGCTTTCCCCCATATAAACCAGCTTTCCCCCATATAAACCAGCTTTCCCCCATATAAACCAGCTTTCCCACATATAAACCAGCTTTCCCCCATATACACCAGCTTTCCCCCATATAAACCAGCTTTCCCCCATATAAACCAGCTTTCCCCCATATACACCAGCTTTCCCCCATATACACCAGCTTTCCCCCATATAAACCAGCTTTCCCCCATATAAACCAGTTTTCTCTCATATAAACCAGCTTTCCCCCATATACACCAGCTTTCCCCCATATAAACCAGCTTTCCCCCATATACACCAGCTTTCCCCCATATAAACCAGCTTTCCCCCATATACACCAGCTTTCCCCCATATACACCAGCTTTCCCCCATATAAACCAGCTTTCCCCCATATAAACCAGCTTTCCCCCATATACACCAGCTTTCCCCCATATAAACCAGCTTTCCCCCATATACACCAGCTTTCCCCCATATACACCAGCTTTCCCCCATATACACCAGCTTTCCCCCATATAAACCAGCTTTCCCCCATATAAACCAGCTTTCCCCCATATACACCAGCTTTCCCCCATATACACCAGCTTTCCCCCATATACACCAGCTTTCCCCCATATAAACCAGCTTTCCCCCATATACACCAGCTTTCCCCCATATACACAAGCTTTCCCCCATATACACCAGCTTTCCCCCATATAAACCAGCTTTCCCCCATATAAACCAGCTTTCCCCCATATAAACCAGCTTTCCCCCATATAAACCAGCTTTCCCCCATATACACCAGCTTTCCCCCATATACACCAGCTTTCCCCCATATACACCAGCTTTCCCCCATATACACCAGCTTTCCCCCATATAAACCAGCTTTCCCCCATATACACCAGCTTTCCCCCATATACACCAGCTTTCCCCCATATAAACCAGCTTTCCCCCATATACACCAGCTTTCCCCCATATACACCAGCTTTCCCCCATATAAACCAGCTTTCCCCCATATACACCAGCTTTCCCCCATATTTCCCCCATATAAACCAGCTTTCCCCCATATACACCAGCTTTCCCCATATACACCAGCTTTCCCCCATATAAACCAGCTTTCCCCCATATACACCAGCTTTCCCCCATATACACCAGCTTTCCCCCATATACACCAGCTTTCCCCCATATACACCAGCTTTCCTCCATATACACCAGCTTTCCCCCATATACACCAGCTTTCCCCCATATAAACCAGCTTTCCCCCATATACACCAGCTTTCCCCCATATACACCAGCTTTCCCCCATATAAACCAGCTTTCCCCCATATACACCAGCTTTCCCCCATATTTCCCCCATATAAACCAGCTTTCCCCCATATAAACTAGCTTTCCCCCCATATAAACCAGCTTTCCCCCATATAAACCAGCTTTCCCCCCATATAAACAAGCCCGAGTGCTTCAGCTGTGCTTTACACACTTACTGATCGTGTTCTCTCAAAGACTACATTTGCATGCATCCTCGTAATGTGTTAACATGAGGTAAAGTTTGCAATATTGCCTACATCTCATTATAATCTTAATACTTAGATCAAATAGATGCAATTAAGCTCATGGTTGGTTGGTTTAGTGTGTATGTATGTTGTGTACTACTGCAGCTTTGAGTCCAAGACATATTTCCTGAAAAAGGACAATAAAGTATACTAAACTAAACTGAATAGTACAATATGTGGTGCATGCGTATTTTAATCAATAAACAGGCATTTATAAACTTCAATGGCATCTGTGCCACTCTGATGGAAGTGTGCATGTGCTTGTGACGAACACAAATGATGTTTTCATGTGCAGATTCATAAACCGCTGTAAAGAAGCCATTGTATTTTTGTGGTGCTGAAGAAACTGAGTTCATATTGACAAGGTTGCATGACATGAATATAATGCAGTATACTGATGGTCGAAAACATCGGAATGAAGACATTCTAGGCTCATAAGCAAAAAAATTAAATGCATCCATAGAAATCTGTTGTGCATTTGACTCGGGTAGATTAAACAGTGGCCAGTAACACCGACTGTATGAGGGCATCATTTGTGCATGTAAATAATGGCGGTAAGAGTAACCATGATTCTTAGCGAATAATGCGAACTGCGCTTACGTCACATTAATAATCACATCATTGTTGCACATGTAAACATGGTCAATCTCACCATCCTGTAACATGAGTTGTGTGTGTGCTCAGGTGAGGTCGAACCCTGGCTCATCGCAGTCGTGCTCCTGGTCAGTCTTCTGGTGGTGTTAGTCGCTATTGTCCTGATCTTTCTGGCTGTGTGGTACGGTTATCAAGGATGCAGAATTATTTTCCCTGATACGAAACTGCCGGAGAACCTCAAACAGGTAATGCACGGGTAAGAAGAGGTAATAGATAGTCAACTGTTCTGTGTTACTGACATTCTCTCTCGTTTCCTCATAGTTTTTGTCGCAACAGTCCCAGTCGCCCATACTTTCAGCCATGCAGGAGAGCACTCAGCTGAAGGAGCACTTTCATGAGCTGAGGATATTTCACACGGAGCCGGACAGCTCTCAGGACAAACCGCAGATGGAAGGATCCGGGATTCAGACAGAGAAGGATGAGAGTTGTACCGGAGCAGACGTTACACAGAGAAGCGAGGACAGATCTGAAACAGCCAGCACCACATCAGAAGAGCAGCATTTACTTGCTGAATAAGGACTGTTGTGATGCCAAACCATATTTATTTAAAGTCCCCGTGGTGAAAATCCAGCTTTTAATGTTGTTTATATTTGTATGTTGAGTTTTTGATATGCTATTAGACAAACCATGTGTAAATTCAGAAGTATACACCATTGCTGAGTATTTTCTCCTTAACCCTCTGGGCCCTAAGGGTATTTTGGGGCCCTGAAGAAGTTTTGATATTGGTGCTTTTTTCAGTTAAAAACATATTAATGACTAAAGTCTGATAACACTGTTTTCAGCACAAACAAGGCTACCGTAATATGTGAGCAACATGTACATACAAGTTTGTAGTTTTGAAAAAATAATGTTTATGCTTGTTTGTTTTTTTTAAACTAAAATTTAAAGTAAATGAAATAAAGCCATATAACACATAGTAAACATTTGTTCACAAGGCTTTTCAAAACATGGATCTTGTTGCTTAGAGTGTTTTCTTCAAAACAATGGGTAAATCATCCTCATCACTCCTTCATAAAGCCGATCTGAGAAAGCAGCGGGTGTTAAAATTACGCCATTATTTCACCACAGGGTGTGTGTTCGTCTAAACTAGTGACCACGACGCTGAAGTGTGTGACAACAGATGAATAACATCAGATCGAACCACCAACGTTTATTTATTTGGATTAAATATTTTAATCATTCTGTATCACTTTTCAATTTCAATCTTTTTACTATTTACCTGTAGCCTGGTTAAAACCAGACCATTCTCAGTTGTAACTGAGTTATGGTCTGGCAAAGCGTCATAGACAAATCATTTCCAGAGGGGCGTCACCAACGGACGTCGCGGATAGACCTAAACCCAATCAGAGCGATGAAGGAGATGACGTATGCAGAGCGGCGGAGACACATCTCCGAGTGTTGTTCTTTGCTCGTTTTTTAACAAAAAGGAAACGTTCAAATCGCTTAAAACAGACGCGATAGCTGATTGGAACGAGTGATGTTCGACGGCGGCATCCATCTTTGTAATGTAGGCTACAAAATCTGCTTCAAAATCCCAGCGCTGTCGTCATCGTGTAAAGCCCGCCCCAACGCTTCTGATTGGTGCCTCGATTTCGACGGATTGGAAATGGGCTTGAATGAGCTCTTTGCCAGACTAACTTTCAGAGCAAATCTACATTTGCCGGAAGTTGTCTGGGTTTTCCCAGGCTAATTTACATGTTTATGCCCAAAATGCTTCATTAAAGGGTTAGTTCACCCAAAAATGTAAACTCTGTCAGTAATTACTCTCCCTCATGTTGTTCAACCCCGTTCATCTTCGGAACACAAATTAAGATATTTTTGATTAAATCTGAGAGCTGGATCACTCCTCCATGTATAACCTATAACGGGTTAATAATAGCTCTTATTTTTATGAATGCTGAAAATTTTTGCATATCAATATTTTTTGTGGAAAAACTGTTTTATTTTTCAGGATGCTTTGATGAATAGAAAATTCAAAAGAACAGCATTTATTTGAAATATAAACCATTGATAATAATCATAAATGTGTCTTGAGCATCAGATCCTCATATTAGAGTGATTTCTGAAGGATCATGTGACACTGAAGACTGGAGTAATGATGCTGAAAATTCAGCTTTGGAATAAGGAATAAATTACACTTTACTATTGAAGGGTTGGTCAAAATCCCTTGCCTCTTCAAATACATATATAATCATATATCATTTTGAATGGTTATATACTTCCTTAATAAAAATCAATAATCAAATATATTCATTATCACATAATAATTTTTATATTCTTGTGCTTGTGAAATTATATTTTCTTAAATGCATGGATGTAAGTAACCAGTTTCTTTTAGGTGCATTCCAATCTTACTTTGAGATTGCACGTAGTACACGCAGGACACGAAGGCCACGTAACCCACAAGGCCGTTTGTCTCTTTCTCTGGGATCAGTAGAAAGGTTAGAGGGTCCTAAAGGCAGCGTGGGCACATATGATCCTTCGCTGGACATATGGTCAAGCTATATTGAGCGTTACTATCAAACTTTAATTGTTGTATTAAAATGTATTCTTTCCAGTATATTTCCTTCCTTGGGAGTAAATGCCAGTGATCTGTTTTTCTCCTAAATGAGTGAATGTTTTGGCATTATGTTTTGGTATACTTAACTGATAATAAGGAGCTCAGACTCTCTTCAGCCTTGATGGGAGCTGTTATTTGCTCGTGTCTGTTATTTGTGTGTGTGTGCGTATGACATTCTATGTAGGTTCTGGACGGTCGGACCAGACACCCCGGCGCCCTTCTCTAACCTGCGAGGCCACCACAGACCTAAATCTAATGAGTGGACGACAACTATCTTTACTAATGGCGATAGGCACCCCTATCTCCTCACATGTGTTAAATTGTTTAGGCTTTCATGTTTCTTAGCCAATGAGAATCATTCAACCTGTAAGCAATGACGTAGCTTAGACCTTGGAAATGGTATAACTGCTGTGATCTTTGTAACTGTAAGCGGGGCGGCCTACGAACTCCTGTGTGAGTCTTGAAGCTGACTTCTGCTGATGAAAATGCAAACTATCTTCAGTAAAACTTTTCTTTAATTTTTTATAATTCTGACTCCGGGTCTTCATTCTTCATATCTGGTTCTGGGTCTTTGACTGTATACCCCTTACAGTTATGGTGGAGGATGCGCTGGCAATTATTCTCGGTGACACCCCTGGCAAATCAACAAACAAGGTAGTAAGCTTTTGTTAATTGTTAGGGCTGTCTGACTGGAAGAGATTTTGAAGGAGAGCGGGAGAGCTTCACTCCGATGAGGCGAGTGAAGCTTCACTCCGATGAGGCGAGTGAAGGAGTAAGTTAATTATACTGCTGACAGTATAAGAAGTCGCTGAGAGCGTCGTTAAGGGTAACGGCAGCAGACAGCGCAAGCGAAGCGTGCTCTGTGGGGGCCCCGCTGGGCATTACTGGTGTAGCACCACCCCAGCAGAGCACGTCCCTGGGCTAGAGGTCCAGTGGCACCGTAAACCTGCTCAATCTCTTCCATCTCAGATAGGGGATCCCCGAACTTAGTGAAGTGAATCAGGCAGTTAGGGATACTAACAATAATAGGGTTGTTTGCCAGGGATGCATCAGGAACAATTCCGAGAGAAAATTAAAAAAAGTTGTGACCCAAATTGGCATGGACCAGTATATGTAACTGTGATTTTGGAGTATACTTTGCAGTTTCATCACGCAGAAGCCAAGCTGTGTTGTTCAAAGATCGCCGCCTCCATTTCTGCAATAACTTCAGGTGAGTATGAACCATGATTAAGATATGGCAGAAAAATATAATAACTTAATCAGTAACCTGAAGAGTCCTGAAACAAATAGTGAGACAGGAAAAGCAAACGCTGTAAGCAGCTGTGCTCTAAAGCCCTCACTTTAAATAAATTTGCAGAAATGATTAAGTAAATGGTAGTCAGGATTTTGATTCTGATTGGAAATTTAAAAAACTTGACTGGCTACAAACAAACTGAAAAATTAAAATGTTTAGCCTCGTATTGCTTACGATGATTACAAGAAGCAAGTGAAAGAAATTCTGGGTCAGGGATAATTTCCCTGGACAAGCGACTAAAGTTAAACAGACACTTTGTGAAAACAACTTAGAATATTTTGCAGCTTATGAAAATTAATGTTCTGCCAATAATAATGATGAAGATTATGATTGGGTTATTATGATTAAATCCGCCACTGGTGGACTGTAAAAGAATACAGAGAACTGCTTAATCAGTGGCTCTGTTTACATTCCTGAATGGGACACACACTGCTTCAAGGGCGTGCTTGTTGGAGCCGTTGAGGCTGACACATGAACCCTTTTGAAGAAAAGATCTATAATACTAATTTTTATAAGTGAATTGATGAATACAGGTTGATGTAAAATTAATGACTCCAACAAATGTGAGTTGCAAAATATATCAAAGTAACTAAAAGGATGATTGTGTTGTAATTCAACATTTTAAAAAGGTTTTAGATGATATAGAGAGACTAATCTCACAGATGATTTACAATAACTGCAAAAGTATCACAAGCAGAGAGTGCTTGCCTCGTCAAACTTAGTGTGTGAATCCTAATTGGAGATTGATAAACTCCAAGAGAAATCTTAAGTCAAATATTAAACTATGGTTGAGAACTTGACAATTAAAATTGAGATTGAGAAATGTGAAACGTTATTGAGAACTAGAATAATTATTTTTATGTAAAACAAATAAGCAGAAGCCGTACTGGATTAACAGTTGCTAAATGCTGATTAAACAAACAGCTTGAAAAGTTGACCATGAAAGAACTAGAAGCTGATGTTTTGCTTTCAAAAGATAAGTTTGTTATTGGCTGTAATGAAACAGTTTGCTTATCTGAATCTGATGTGTGCTGTGGCTGAAACTGCCAGTGCAACAGACTCAATCTGAGTGGAAATTTGAAATGCCTAAATTTCCTGATGTGTGGGCAAAAGACAAATATAAATAATATGTTTATTTGAAACCGTATGTAATATCTGGCAAAGATGCCTTAAGCTGGGATAGAGTTAAAAGATGATAGATAAATGTTTGATGTTAGAAGTATATGAGAGAGCAGTGTACCATCCAATAGAGTCTCAGAGTCTCTCTCATTCAATGAGTCAGCTAAAAGCTGTTATCTGTGATAATGTGTAAAGCACAGTGTGTCAGTTGAAGAATCATAGACACAGAGATGGTAAAAGAAACCATTTAGAGAGCAATTTGTTTTAGAAGTAAAACTGAATGACTTTTTAAAGAAGTATTTAAAACAATAATACAGATAGAGATGACATTTTGATTAGCTTATTTTAGGACAGTAACTTCTCTGTCTCATTTAGTCTCCACCATTCAGGACCGATGGCTCCGGCTACAGATGAAGTACACTGAATGTACGGTTGTGATCTAAATTCACTGAGTATAATCCAAGTAGCTAGGTTGCTGCTTTTAAGATAGTTAATGGATTTAAGTGATTAAATACTGTTGTTATTGAACTGTCTCCCCATGTGAACACTATTAGGCAATCCGAATGGCTCTGGATGACTCTTGAACGTGCCTTTCCTAAGCTCCAGAAAACAGCTGAGTTCTGTTGAAGAGAACTGATTGTGTGATTGGAAAGAGCGGTCACCAGTGGGCACGAGTGGCTACTCAATGACGGGTAAGACCTTCTATTGGCCTGACAGGGGGCAACCCAAGCCAGAGTGGATCACGTAAAGTCATTGGGCATCTCCTGAATGGAGGTGTGTTATGTGAGACAGGTATGAGGGTTGAGCAGGAGCTGTGAGGCCAGCAGCGTCCTTATGGCGTTAAGGGGAGATGACGCGGTGACGAGTCACGGCATGTCTCCCCAATAAAG